TCTTTGAAATAAGTTTCAAAGATTTTTGGGGACAGTCCATATTTTGTTTTATACATGAACTGTAGAACAAGATGGATATTAAGTTTAAAAATATTCAGGGCACCAATAATACGTAAAAGAGGTTCACAAGGAATCGCTCTACCAACTTTAAATATGATTCTAACAGCATGTTTTTGTTTGCTATAAAGTTTTTTTAGCTTAGTGTGGTTAGTACTTGCCCGTATGATGTTGCCGTAAGTTAAGTAACTATGTATAAAAGAAAAATATAAATTTTTTAAGGACTTAAAACTTAAAATTGGCCTAACTCTATAGATCATTCCAAGGCCTTCTTAAACAGGCCGCGACAGCTCATTTTCCGTAAAATTAGCGAAGGCCGATTTTTTTACGGAGAAGTATAGTTTCAATGAGGATTTTGGTTGTTTGATTTAAACTATAATAGTTAAACTCGTAAAATGCCTAATAAATGCTGCGTTTATGGTTGCTCCTCAAATTACAAATCAAAAGTAAAAGATAATGTTAATGTCACAATGTATAGATTCCCCTTTAAATCCGGGGATCGCGAGTTATGGATTAAAAAACTTCCAAATGCAAACTTTGTGTTTACAGATTATAAGCGAATTTGTGCTCAGCACTGGCCTAAAGATGCAGAATTAAAAAGAGTCAAAGGTGGCAGTTTTGTTCCAGTGCATCCTCCATCAGTCTTTAAAGGTATACCAGTGTCTTGTATTCCAATAGTGTCTAGAAAACGAGATGTCACTGGGTTGATATGACTGGGTTGATATGCTCTGAAACTTTCAGAGCATATCAACCCAGTCATATCAACCCGGTGACATCTCGTTTTCTAGACACTATTGGAATACAAGACAATGGTTCTTTCATATTTCAATATATTTCTTTCAGTGAAAGAAATATTTTACCTGATGAGTTCGAAAACTTCAAAAAAATGGACGTTATTCAATTTAATACAATTGTAAAAAATTTGAAGTCAATAATAAATTACTGTGAAAAAAAATTTTATTTTGTTGAAAAAGAAAAAAATACATCTTTAATATCATATGAACTTTGTGGACCAGTACCTAAGTTTTCAATATATATAACTTTAGAAGATTCTGGAGATATTTATTTTACTGGATATAGCCAACTTTTACAAATTAAACTGTCTTTTTTAAACAAAGGAGTTATTAAATATTATTCTCAACTGGAGAATGCTGTTAGTTATGTTATTAATAATGAAACAGATTTTAAGTGAGTAAGTTATATTAGGCATCAAGTAGCTTTATTAAATAAAACAAACAATACACCATTAGCACTAATGCTCCTTTGTCTTTTTGGTGGCCCACGACTTGTTATAAAAGTTTTTCCAGTTTGTAAAGTTACAACAAATTTTCAAACAAGCGTGATAGAAGAATTAAATCAACAAATCATAATTGGAGGTGGAAAGCCTCTTGGTTAATAATGGATTACTATCGAGTAAACCAAAAAATATTTCAATATTTTAATGCAAAAAAAGTTCCAGCATACTATCTTTTAAATGACACTGTGCATATTTTAAAATGTATTCGAAATAATTGGATCACTGAAAAATTACAATGTTTAAAATATAGATTGCTAAATGATAACGATACTGTGCGACTTGCAGAATGGAAATTTATAATTCAACTTCATGCTGCAGATAGTCGAATAGTTAAGTTGTCACCCTTAACACAAAAAGCTGTGTCACCAAAACCAATTGAACGACAAAATGTTGGATTAGTTCTTAAATTTTTTTGTGATGAAACAGTTGCAGCAATACGTGTAAAATTTCCTGAAGCTGAATATACTGCACTTTTTATTAAAACAGTTGTTAAGTGATGGCTTATTGTCAACAGTAAAGCAAAAGGTCTAGATATTAGATTAAATGATATTCGAAGAAAGCCTATTACTTCAGTTAATGATTGGCAAATAGATTTCTTAGAGAACTATATTTCGTATTTTGCTGAAAATTTGAAATGCGTAAATTCAAAATTAAGAGAGAAAAAGTTAACAATGGATACTGCAAGTGTTTGCAAAAAACTTCTAAAAGATTAGCAAGCTGTGCCAAGTATTTGTTGAATTGTGGTGTATCTTATGTATTGTTAGGACATATGCAATCAGATGCACTAGAAAAACAGTTTAGGAAATATCGGCAAGGGTCAGGTGGCACATATCTGATAACTGTGCAAAATGTTATTCAAAAATTTAGAATCGACAAAACTAGAAAGTTGCTAGACAAGCATACAGATTTTACAATATTTCCTCCTGCTCACCACCACTGTGATAAGTGTGAACTTGATGTGGAGTTTATTATGTCAATATGTGAAAATTGTGAGGATTAGTTGCCAAATGAATGCAAACAAGGACTTTTATATATTGCAGGTTTTATTGCTTACAAACTTCCAGAATTACATTCAATTTTAGAAGAAACAGACAGCTTTGATATGTTTCAAAAATATGGAACTTTGATTAGTTCTTTGAATAGGGGAAGACTAAGAGAACCTTCTGACAATTTAGTCTACTTTGTTTTTTATTGTTTTTTTATATTTGAAGTGACACTTGTGAATAAAGTTTCACCATTGCTGTGCAAAAAAGGATTAATTGACATTTTTATTAACTGCAATAGTAAATTTCAATTGCTTGTTCAAAGTGTTAAAAAAGTTTACTGCATTTTGGCAAACATTTTTTTTCAACAATTATTGTAAAAAACACTCTGAAGATTTTGGGAAGGAATGTTTAATAAAACAGGCAAAACTTTTAACTTCAAAATAAAATACTTTAAGTCAAAAAAGTCAAAATAATTTTAATAAAATAAAGTTAATATATTTGTTTGTTTTTATCAAAAAATTTATTATTTGTATTACAAGTGTTAAACAGCTAAAATAAACATATAGTTATAAAAACGAGATTTAGTCATTTTTAGCTAAACTCCTTAAATTTTTATTGTAATTAACTTATTTCTAAACGTAAAAAAAATTCCTACAATATTTGCTTTCGAAATTCAATCAAAATGTTTTGTCCTAATAAAGCTTTTTATTTGTTTCTGAAGTTTGTTTACAAAAGCAAAGATAAAAAATAATTTTAACCGTAAAAAAGTCGGCCTTCGCTAATTTTACGGAAAATGAGCTGTCGCGGCCTGTTTAAGAAGGCCTTGCACCATTCCAATGTTTTTTGAGATTTTTTTTTCTATAGAATTTATATGTATTTTCCATGATAAATTTTCATCAAAGTTCATACCTAAAAAATTTTATTTATTAAGAGATTAGCCAGAATATTTTTTTAGCGGTATTTTTTTTGTTTTGTTTAGTTTGTGGAAAAGAGAAAATTTAGTTTTTTGAACATTCAAAGACATTTTGTTGCATTTAAACCATTCATTTACTTTATTTAGTTCTTCATTTACTACTATAAAAAGTGTTTCAATATTTTTGTGAGAATAAAAAAGATTCGAGTCATCTGCAAATAAAATAAAATTTAATTGGTTTGACGTTGAAGACAAATCATTTATGTATAGTAAGAAAAGTAAAGGTCCTAGTATAGAACCCTGTGGGACTCCGCAAGTTATAGTTTTTTTGGTCATTTTTAAATTTTCAAATTGTACGTATTTTTTTCTGTTCGAAAGGTAATTTTCAAACCAAAGTAAGTTTGTCTCCTTTATTCCGTAATATTCCTTTTTTTTTATTAAAATGGAATGATATACCGTATCAAAAGCTTTGGACAGATCAATGAAAACTCCTAACGTATAACAGTCTTCTTTAAATGCATTAGATAAGTGATTAACTAACTCTACTATTGCGTGATCTGCTGAATGTTGTTTTTTGAAACCAAATTGCTTACTATATAACATGTTGTTTTCAGTTAAATGATTATACAGCCTATTGTACATTATGCGTTCAAGCAATTTTGAGAAACAAGACAAAACAGATATAGGTCTATAATTAGAAGGGTCTGACTCATCTCCAAACTTAAATACTGGAGTCACTCAAGCAATTTTCAAATTTTCTGGAACTTTACCTTATTTAAGTGACTGATTGAAGATATGAAACAAAGATGGTTCAATTATATCATAGACTAATTTTAATATATTAACGCTAACTTTATCCGATCCTGCACTTTTGTAACTTTTTAAGCTTAGTAATGCAGTCCGCAACTCACATATATCTAGCTTTGACTCATTCATTTTTTGATTAGAATTTGTTAGATAAGAACCAAATGTAAAAGAAGTTGGAGGAATACTTTGTGCTAAATTAGAGCTAACATTAATGAAAAAACTGTTGAATTCTTCAGCTATTAGTGCTTTATCATAAATTGATTCATCGTCAATTAAAAGTTTTTTTGGCAGAGCGTTATTTTTATATTTGTTTTGTTCAATTATTTCTTTAATAGCATTCCAAGTTTGTTGAGTATTTTTTATTTGCTTTTTCTAGCATTTTCGAATAATATAATTTTTTAGAGTATTTTTTGATTTTTTCAAATAAATGTTCTTATTTCTAAATTGTATTTTTAATGTTCTTATTTCTAAATTGTATTATCTTTGCATCCGAAATAGTGAACGTGCTAAAGTTCCTAAAGCCAAAATAATACATGTGTAACCTGGACTTTCTTGGGGTAACATTTCTAAAAAAATGACCTCATTGAATTAAAAGTTTTTAATGTACATTGCACATGTTATTGCGTGCTAAAATAGCGTAACTAGATCTTCTCTATCTTTCAGGTTTTTAAAGAATTTTGTCCATAAGACAAATTAATAAACAAATGGATAAGCATTATTTTACGTAAAGAAAAACATAGCATACATGAATAATTTTAAACTTAACAAATGACGGTTATTCGTCATTTGAAGCCGGGGAGTAACCAACGAGTGGGTACCCGTCGAGCCAATACCAAGAAAAGCTTTTAACGGTATCTCTTACCGATAAATCAATATATGTAAAAAATGATACTAACGATACTCAATACCAATATCGAAACTCTTGTTCAATTTTGAAAATATTATTGCTCTAAACAAAAAAAGTGCGTGATAAAATAATTTTTTTTTTAATGTCATAATTTTTGTTTAATTTAACAAAACACAATCGGAATTTTTGCCATGTGAGCATTGCAAAAATCAAGAAATGACTTGCTACAAACATGTCTAATTGTGGGTTCTGTCACTTAAACGCTTTATAAGATTTTTTCAATTTGTGAGGTTTTAAATTTGAAAAACTTATTAGTAGTTTCTTGGAGGTTTACGTTTAACTACAGTTTTGATTGTTGTATTTTTTTTTTGTGGTTGTATAATTTATTACAGATTTTCATATATTCTATTTTCAAACTTTTTTTTTTTTTTGGCTTTACTCAATTGGCTTTACTATCTATTTTAAAACTACACGACAACATCAAACCTGCATCATGCAAGTTTGATGTTGTCGTGTAATTTTAAAATAAATAGTAAAGCCAATTGAGTAAAGCCAAAAAAAAAAAATAAAGTTTGAAAATAGGATATATGAAAATCTATATATACCATGAAATTTTAATACCATGCAGTGCATGGTATTATATTATGGTATGGTACTTCCTGGATTACTTGCATGTTAGTACTGAATTACTTGCATAGTAGTATGGGATTATTTGCATGGTAGACTCTCAAATACTTTTATTATCTTCTCTAAAATCTTCTCTAAAAATGGTATTATATTATGGTATGGTACTTCCTTGATTACTTGCATGTTAGTACGGAATTACTTGCATAGTAGTATGGGATTATTTGCATGGTAGACTCTCAAATACTTTTATTATCTTCTCTAAAATCAGTAGCAAACACTTCTACCTCATTAGATCCTCATGATGCAAAAATGTATTTGTTAATACATTTATAAAAATACATTTAAACAATAAAATATAAAAATTTAAATTCAAAATCTGCTTTTGAAAAAAACTAACTTGACAGTAACTTATAAGTTATTATTATTATCAATCTATACTAAATACATTACTACAATTCTTATTTTTCAGATATCTTATTATCAAAATTTATTAAATTTTTTTGGTTTTACTCAATTGGCTTTACTATTTATTTCATTTACTACTACTATTCTTACTATTTTTACTATTTCTATTAACATTTTAAAGCTTACTATTTGCTATTTTTTTAATATTGTTGTTATTTTTAGCTTATTGTTATTTTTCATATTATTATTGTTCTTCGGTTGTTGTTTGACTGTAAATTTTTTAAAAAGGTCTCTGCTATGATTAAGTTTTGAACTGTTTCCATCATCTATTTACAAAAATAGTATTGTAGTACTTTTTTAATTTTTTGCAAACAGAACTTTTTTTGTGTGAAATATTGATTAATATTGATTAGTTTTAACTTTGACAGATAAATAGTTCCAGTTTGTACCTTTTAAGTATTTTATAAAAATAATTTATTTTTTTCATTTATCACAAAAACAAATCTACTTTAAGGAATAAAAAGTTTTTATTGTTTAACTGATCAATCAATAAACTACAACAATTCTAAATTTAGAATTGTTATAGTTTATTGATTGATTGGTTAAACAATAAAAACTTTTTTATTCCGTAAAGTAGATTTATTATTGTGATAAATGAAAAAAATAAATTATTTTTGTAAAATATTTAAAAGGTACCAACTGGAACTATTTATCTGTTGTTAAAAATATTTTTCTTAGTTACTGTATATACTCTTTTCAAGTATATGCAGTAACCTAAAAAAATTGAGAAAATTATTTTGAAGACATATTGGGAATGTTTTTTTAGTTTCTCAAATTACTTTTAATAATGTAGTTGTGCATTTATTAGCAATATGACCAGAATTCAAAAAAGAAAAGACAAAAATATTTCATTATGAAGTAGATCTTAACAAGAAAAATTTGATGCATACCACATATGATAGTCACACTAGATTTATGGGTTGGAGTAAATGCTTACTATGTTTATGGGTATGATACAAGGGGTGAATTAAGTGATTGCGAATTGAAAATTCTGAAAAAATTTCTGCTCTTTAAATTTTTAGTTTCCTAAATAACCGTGAACTCAGTTTTTTGGGCTCTTAAAATCAACTAAAACTGATTTCATTAAGACTCTCATAACTAAGTTATGAAAGCCTCATAACTAAGTTATGAGTTATTCCATGTCCCTGGTAGTACCGCGCTCAACTCGTTTCTCCGCGCAGCGGCCTTGTTCTTCAAGGTTCGTGTTTCGGAGTTATAGAGTTGAGAGAGGGTTATAGCCACAAATAAGTAGCCTCCTCGTCTGTAGTGGCCTTCTCAGCCTTAAGGAGGTGAATTAAAATTAAAAAAAAAAAAAAAAGTCACGAGCTTCAATGAAATTAGTTATAGTTGATTTTTGAGATCCATAAAAACTGAGTTCACGGTTTTATAAGAAACTGAAAATTTAAAGACCAGAATTTTTTTCAGGATTTTTAATTTGCGATCACTTAATTTGCCCCTTGTGATATTTATAATATTTAAGTGGTATAATTATTTAAGCTATATATGAGCCTCATGTGGCATATTTAAGCGGTAATCACTTAAGTGGTAAATACCATAGTCACACATGGCCCACATTTATTCTATCTCATTTAAACGAGTGTGGCTATCAATATATAACACAATTGTCAAGATGGTTTTTCAAAATAGTATTTTGGAGCATGTTACAAAGAATAAAAAAAAGAATTTAGCAATTGAAGATAAAATTATACTTGGTTTGTGAAAACTGGTTAAACCAAGTTGTTAACCAAGAAAATAAGTAAAACTGGTGAATTGATATTCACCAGTTTTACTTAATTGAATTGAAAAAGAATAAGCTAAATCTAGATATCTTTATAAATTTGATTGTGTATTTTGACTGAGCAGATATACTTTCATTATCAGTTAAATCTAATTTTTTCGAATGTTAAAAAATTTTGAATTTTCTTGGTAAAGTTAAAAGTTTGTTACCAGTTTATAGTGGCAATTATGAAAACTCATCTGGTATAGAATCAGGTGAAGCTAATGACTTGAATGATTTATACTTGAATGTTGATAATGATACAAATCTAAAATTAGACAAATATGTAGATAAGTTTACTGATGGTGATAATGATAAATAAAGTTCTATAAATATATTATTTGATAATTGTTAGTCTACAATATAAATATATTAAATAAATATAAAATAAAATAAAGAAGTATACAGTTTCTATCAACAACTTTGCAGACTGTATTTTTTTTTTTTTTAATTTAGCAGAAAGGGGGAGACTAAGTCTTTCTCATTATGCGCATGTGTCGGTCTAAACACAATATTAGAAATATGATTTTATGACATTAATTAATTTTAAGCTTAACATAAATGCACTTTTTGACCACATATTTTAATGGAATATTCCCACTAATTATAAAAGTTATATTTTTTAATAATCTGCAACTGGCACTTGTTTTAAGGACTAATATTAGTGCTAGATGTGAAATCGAATGCTTTTACAACTAACTATTATTTCAAAATTTTCTTCTTTATTTGTCAATATTTTTTTACTTCATCCAAATCATTTTGAAAAGCAAAACATAATATAAAGTTTAATTTTTTCTTTAATTAATAGTATAACGCTTCATTGCAAAAAGTTTTACAGCAGTTTTGAACAATTTTAAAATGGTAACAAAATTACTAATAAAAAATTGCATATATAGAAAAAAGGCGTAGTAAATATAATTTCAGGATGTTAAAGGTATTATTTAGTATATTATTTTGTAATGACACCAATTAAGTTTAATATTTGTTTTTAAATTAAATAACTAAAAAAATAAACACTATACATTTATGCAATTCTAACATAAATATAAAGATGCAATCAAGTATTGAAAAAAAAAACACAATGTTTTGCCTTCCTTTGACTTGACTTGTTTTTTTGTTGTCTTTCTTTGACTTGACTTCTTTTGACTTGTTTTGGCCCCTTTATCTTCTTAACTCTTCCATTTCTTCTTACCTCAGAATCAGCTTCCAAATAATGAGTTACTTCTAAGACATAGATATTTAATTAGCAGCAGATCAAAATGATTCAAAAGTATTTATGATCATTTTCTTGTCCTATAGGATCAAATTTTAATATGAAATGCAAAGGAAAAATAATGTGTTATCAAAAAAACAAAGAATCGTGTCTTCTTTTAAAATTAGTGAATATCTCGTAGTCTTGTCGTTTTACAACTATATTATTGGAAGGTAAAATATTATCAAATTTGTAAAAATTCACAAAAAATGGGTATCAATGACCAACGGAAAGTTGGTATTTAGGAGTAAGGACACCAAAGAAAAGTTAATTATAGAATTTCAATCAATCATGAAGACTCTTTTTAACATTGGAAAATCCAACATTAAAGAGCTTATACAACTTAGTCAAGATATGCCAAGAAACAAATAGAGTAAAGAGTCAGATTTAACATTTTTGGAAGATCAGAAAAATGCTAAATAAGCATTTAAGCAGACATACAGAAGATCATGAAGCAAACAGCTTATAAGCAGACTTATAGAAGAACTTAAAACAAAGATTGGATGCAGGGAGATACTGTAGGTATGCATATACTGTAGTATGAACTTGGTATGAACTACTTGATATGAACTATGAAATAGGATTTAGAAGATGTAATTCAATTAAAAAAGTTGATGGAAATTATTTATGTCATAAAATTGATATCTGTATCAGGTAATTTTTATCATGAAAATAACTAAAATATATATTGTTAAAGCTGTGAATGTACTTTTTAATTTTTTTTTTTTTTTTTAGTTATATTGTACGTCTTTCAAATCTGGTATTAATGGTAGGTAATACAAGTAAGTTAGGGAGGTTCTTTAAAAGTGATAAGAAATTTTAATAAATTTGTGAAGTGAAAAAAAATAGTTAAACTGTTGGAATATCAATATATATGACATAATTTCAGAGTTACATAGATTAAGACAGTGTAAGACTAATATTCTAAAAAATTTGACTAAAAAAGTTTTATGAATTAAACCTGAAAATTTCCTCCCCCCCTTACTTTACTAGA